ACTATGCCAATGAAAAGTATAACCATTTATTTAAAACATGATATTTATCACCTGCCTTCAAATTAGACGCAGATAGAAAAGCGTCTGTGTTGTGGCAGTCGTGCCACTACTAAATTTTCATACAATATCTAGTCTTTGTGGTGCTGCAGCTGCGCTTCTAAATATTGTATTAAATTAGAAGAAACGCGGCTGCAGTGCCACAATAGCGCCACTGCAACGCTTAGTCAGCGCCACATCGTCAGACATGATAAAATGCAAATAAAAATCCTAAATTCAAAAAATGATTTACACATCTGTTGTTTTTCAATTTCTTTCCGTTTAGGAAAAGAAAAAGGTTTGAAACCATACCACGAAATCTTGGTATTTTTTTCTTTTATGGTTTTTGGTAAATAGGCATACGCCAAGTCTTCAGTTGTTATTATTATTATTCTTGAGCCAGTGTTAGTATTATTATAAAAATTATACATAAAAAGTCGTCGAAAACTTCAGATTCGTATTGATTGTTAAATGTTTCTTCATTAATTTATCGTGACTCAGTCAATAAAGAGATCTTAAGCCCACCAACTACAATTACCTATCTATCAAAAAGATATTACTGTGAATGTTATAATTAGATATTTTTATCGACACTGTACTGCAGACGTCAAGAGATTTTATTGATACGGATAATTGGAAATGTAATTCCCAACCAGTGATGGTGTGGTAGGGAAGAGTGGAAAAAAAATCCACTTGTCCCCACCAGGGAGGACAGCTGATAGGGACTAGTGGAATAGACCTTTTTTCTTTTCATTAGATCCGAAGAAAATGTAGAAAATTATATTGAAAACACTACTACCCATTCGTAACGCAAGTTTTAAGTACTTTCCTATCTATTTCTGCCGCTAACCAGTAATGTGAGTTTTGAAGGGTAAGGGTACAGGTGCAATGGGAGTGCCCATCAGGTCTTTACGATTCAAAACTCTGAATGGCACTGCAACTGTTATGGACAGGCGTGTCGCTTACTACGCACTGTACGACTTATTCGTCCAATCACTTGATATCATAAAAAAATTAAAACTTTGAGTTTACTTCATAATTTCTTTCTCTGCAGTCTGCGAGCATGTCATGGATAAACCTACACATTCAATGAAGTTTGACAAACCCCAGGTCCTTGCAAAAGAAGTCCGTTATCTACCCAGGATGCTGCGAGAGGCCATTGAAATTAAAAATCATCCTAATTTCAACAGGGAAGATGGTTTCTCCGTACCACCAGTTGGGGATCCAGTATTTCCTCTAATGAAAAATCCCAAACAGACATAATACTGCAGTACTAATTAATATGTTTTAGTTTATTCTAATTTCTATTAATAATAAATTGAACTTAATAAAAATTCATTCAATAAAATAATTTGTAAATCTTAATGTAGCGTAAATTTGAATGTTTTCTTTGTAAAATTAAAAATAAGATATTTAATTAATAACTATTGTAACTATAGTGAAAAAATAGGGTGGTTTGTATCATCAATATTAGACATAACTGGTTGAAGATTGTACCACCTCAGTCAACCGTGACCATGGGACCTGTAAAGGGCCCGAAACGTCTGTTTTTTTGAAAAAACAAATATACGCGATTTAAATCCGGAAAAATAGTTTCATTTCCTATACGAAAAACTTGCTTACCTCACCATTCTTGCTTAGGCGAAGTCAAAATTCGTTTTCTAAATCTCAGCCGTAGAGTATATAGCCTAAACTTAAAGTAATGCACAAAGAGTCTATGATACTTCCCACTGAAATTGCGGAATTATTAAAAACTTTTCAAGGGGGGATGAAAAGTAATCTCGGACTATTTCGAATTAAAAAATAATACTGGCCATTATCGCGACGCCTTCCTTGTTTATTCTTTTTTCAAAATTAGTGACACTCCTTTGTTTATTACCTTTCGCTTTGTGCGGACAAAATGGCGGAAGAAAAAAGCAAAATGTTTAAAAATGAGCAACATTTTTTTTGGCACACCCTTCGAAACAAATATTTCCTATTTACATTTTCAACCTTAGTTACATATTGAAAAAAAAAAGGTAACAATGATCGTCTTTTCTTCATACAATGAAACACTAGTAGATTACATGGTTGGTTCTTAGAATAATAACGCATAGAACATTGACTTACAAATAAATGGACGACGGGTCTAATACAAAAACCACGAAAAAAATGTCCCAAGTCAACCTATTCGAAATTTAAATTGTAATGTCATCGCAGTATCGCGCTGTCAGTAGAACAAATGAAGACTAAAGCGGAGTGTCGCGCTCTGTATACGATTTTAGCGCCTTACAAGTGCGGACACTTTTTAGCGCGGACCCGACGTCCATATAATTGTAAGTCAATGGCATAGAATGATAGTTTCATATCAAACGAACTGTCACAAGTGAGGCAAAAACTACACTCATGTAGGCTACTTTTAGTAGTAGGTTAATTTTCGGTTTTAGTGAATATTTATATAAAAATACAAGTTGAAACGCGTTACTTCCTTGTGGAATGTGATGTTAGTATCTATTTTATGTTTGTCTGACGTATTTTTACACTCATTTACCGCACATTTCGTCATTTTTAGCTAAAATTCTGGAGCTGTTCGTGGTGCAAGTTGACCTTGAGCACTGAAGGCCCGCCCGCTCGTGTAGGCCCATTGGGCGCGCTTCAATTTGCCTCACTTAGCGTGTGCGGACTAGGTTTCTATGCGTTATTATTCTAAGGGTTGGTTGTACATAGGTAGATTACTTTTCAGGCGCTTCTCGTAGCTACTACAGTAAGTAGCTAGTTGCAAACAAAAACATAATAATTTCGCTATTTCAAAAGGAGGTAATATCTACTCTATGTGTTTTATTTCCTTGAACATTAGGTTAAATATAATCTGCCTGTTCCATTTTCTGGTTACGATCCAAGAATCTCCTATATTTATCCCTTTCTTACAGAAATTGTATACGTTTTTTTAGGATTATTAAGTTCTTATTAAGATTTTGTTTTGAACCCCTATAATATAGTATAGGTAGACTATATTAAAAGTGTAACTGGGAGGCGTATAGTTAAAAAAAAAAAAAAAAAAAGGTTAGCAATTAAGTAAAATTTTATATTATTTTATTTTGTCACTTTTATTTTCTAAAATCCAACGTATTTCACTTTATCAACTAAGTCCATCCTAATAATATGAGATATTTAATAACAAAAAGGTCTCAATCTGGGAAATTTTGTGTAAATTTGGAAGCGTAACGCTTCGTAGGAATTGGGATATCCACAATATAGGGGTGGAACGCCTTCGTCTAATCCTCCGGCGATGGAAAGAGGAAAGCAGAATTAAATCATGCAATCCAATTTGAAATTCGCTCTTTATATCCTGTAGAATAAAAGCTCCATAATTGAATCCTTAAATTTGTGCTACAGGAAATCATCAATCGTTGACCACCGAGATCTTAGTTTTATTCAAGTAACAAACAAACAAACGAAATTAATTACGCGTAGGCATATATTGTAATACCCTTATCGTTTCTCCGATAATGGGACAGTACTATGACGAAAAATTGTTATCGCAATTTTCCAAGTACATCCAATTTTATGTCACTGCGCAGGTGTTTTATACCGGGTATTTCTTGCACAATTAGTGAAGAATAGTTAAGGAAGGTTTATAAGCGGTTTTTTGCCGTTTTAAATTAAGTTTAATTAAATACAGACGCTTATTATAAGAAATCTTTTTATTCACTGTTCTTCATTGCCTCCTAAGCAGATGCCAAGAAGGGTAGACCTGATATACGCTATAAAGTAACCAACTGTACGATTAAAGCACTGTGTACAAGAAACTTTGTTAATTTATTGATGAACAATAATTATTATATTTATTAGTTAATTTTATAAATATCAAATTTAAACACGGAGCAGCAAACAGGGACGTCCGACCCGATCCCGCGCTATATATAAACTGAATCATCGGCGCTCTGAAATAGAAACTGGAAAGGAATATGAGGTAAATATAGAAGAGTGACGTCATATTTTGTCAGCAATTAGTACAGATCAATGAGTGGTAAAAGGGCATTCGGCCTATGCGTCCTTTTTAAGGGAGATTTGTCCCGAAAAATTGGAAAAAACTACTTGGGGTCAAAACGTTTATTGCAATAGAGATTAAGAAGACTATTGTAAAACATATTTTGTTGTACAGTTATGCAAATAAGATTTTTTTTAGACATATCAAGTGACGGAACGATCGTGCTCCTGATGGTAAGCTACACGCCTGTCCATAACAGTTGCAGTGCCACTCTGAGCTTTAAATCGCAAAGATCTGAGGTATCCGTCAGGATAGCTGCACTAAACGAGATAAATACAAATCAAACTGTGCTCATTATTTACTACCTACTTTTTTTCTACTATTTAGTACCTTTATTGACATATTTTATACTTTTTTGCTAATGGAAATATTAAAGAAATAAAGTGGCCAGCCATTCTGACGTCCATTTGGCTGGACCACTACATTATTATGTAATTTATTCTTTTGATATAACTATTTACTACCTAATTTCTATCTAAACATACATTCTTTTCACTACTTTAGGACACTTCTATAAAGTTATTTAAAAAAAATTATAAAATTTTTCCTTTGCTAAAGATATCTTCTAAAAAGACAGTTTATCCAATCCCAGGTAAGAAACTAAAACACTTGTGTTAAGAAAATCGGAAACAACGAGACGGTCCCACAAACACCCTCAAAAAAAGTTAGTTTTCCTCATTGCCCTGCCTGGGGATCGAACTCGGAACCTCAAAGATAGTGATACCATAAAAACCGCTATGCAAGCCACTCAACTACAGACATCATCAAAAAGTTATTCAATCCTACTTTATCCTAATTACGAATAGTATAAGTTAATAAGAGCAAGTTGAGAAAGGCGTTATGGCAGATTATTGGTATAGCTTTGAAATAAATACATTATGACAGAAAGAATAAGGAAATAAATAACATAAAAAAATTGTCCTTAAACCTTTATTTATATTCAAATAATGTTAAATCTACTAAAGTCTAATGCTTTCTTTTCTCTTCCCGACTATCTCTACTAGACTTAGACCGTTCATAGTCATCATATTTCCTTGATACACGACTGCGTTTATCATCCACTCTGGAACGTTCCCTGGAACGATCAATCTCTCTGTCTCTTGAACGAGACTTGTGTCTTTTAGTTGGGTATTCTCTTTTACGGTCATAAGGTGATCGTGATCGTCTTTCCCTTTTATTTTTATGTGTACTATGATATTTAGATGATAATGGAGGGGTTTTAGGGGACTTATCTTTCTTTGTATCTCTTTTCGAATCTTTTGATGTAGATGCAGTTGGTGATTCTGCCTTCTTTTCCTCAGCTTTAGCATTCTCCCTATCCTGCTGAGCTTGTTTCTGCTTATTAGCTTGATAGACCTTTTTTAGCATATCTACTTTGCATTCCAGTTCTTCAGGGTTCACTTTTGTACGTTTGTACAGCTGTAAAATTCGGAAGCAAACTTCTCTTATATCTTCTTCTGTCACTTTGCATAATAAAAACCAATGCGGATTATTTGGCAATGGCAAGCCAATCCTACGAGCTGTAAGATAAATGCAAGCACAAGCTATAGTTTCTGGAGGAAATCTCATAAAAACATCAGTACGGAGTGCATCATTCATGTAATTCCATGCCATTTGCATTAGTTGACGGTTCTTTTCGTACTGCAGTAATTGAAGGTAGACTACAATGAGTTTATGAGGATGTTTTACATGCACACAGAATCCCAATTCCTTGAGAATTCTCCGTTCTGCTTTAATCACTTGATTCTTCAATTCTATGTAGTTCTGGTCCACAATTAGTGGTGTTATGGGCTTCTGTGCTCTCACTTGCTTGATATGATGGAACACATTTATGACATCACGTATTCTACAAGGTTTCTCTTCAACTTTTGAGGCTAAATAGATACTTCCCATCGCCATAGTTTCCATAGGGTAACGGACGAAAGATTTAGAGTAATAAAACCTTTGTAAATAGATTTGACCAGTTGCCATTGCAACTTGAGGGAGTTTGAGCAAGATTCCAGCTGTTTGTATGAGTTCACAACCAAGAATTCGAAGATCTGTCTCGGTTTCTATATCGAGGCCGTCGGATTGTGACGGCGTCTCTTTGAAAGCAGTTTCCGGTAAAAGGCAGTTGTGTAACGTGAGTATAATCTTGCCATAGTTCTTTTGAGGCTTCCCTGGCGTGGTTGAGTTAGTTTTCGGCTGGTTTTGGACCGTTGTTGTAGTCATCTTGAAAATGACAACTTTCACTCAAATTCACACCGTAAAAACAATCAGTACTAACGTCCGGCACGTCGATTTGATGATGCACACTGAATTTACATTATTTAACGCATTTTATAGCATAATTTCAGAGAAACACAGCCTAAACGCGGAAAAGACGCTTTAATAGAAATTGACAGCAAACCAATATGGCGCCACGAAACTTCACAGATGTCAAACCCAACTTTGTAAACAATATTATATAATGTTTTAGAGCTTAATAAAAGGATTTAACAAACACACAACTTACCTGGTGCCATTATCACCAAATTACTCCAATGTTTATAATCGTATAATCAAACAAATCATGAAAATAAAATGTCAGGGCGTTATGTGCGAAGCAAGCAATCGATATTTTTTTTTTATTTCGTTTCCGGTACGAGATTTTGGTGAACAATGATATGCTGAAGTGAGATAGTGCTATACGGAACAAACGCATAACATAGAGAAAAAGCCGAATGAAAGTGCAACTTAAATCACATAAAACGCCCAAAATTATCGTTCATTACTACAGAAAAAATGTTGGGTTTTAGTAGTTGTATTTTTTACGCGAATTTAATTTTTAGTATAACTATGTATAATACGTTGTGCGTTTCTTGATTGTTTGTTACCATTACGCTGATGGCTCTGAAGCCAATGCTTTATAAATAAATAAAAAATCGTTCATTACTTCACCTTAATTCTATTTTGAAAATAGTTTTATTGAAACCGCAATTTGGAGCGAAATGAAAAAAGGAACGTATTTTTGTTTCTGTTTTTCTTGCTTTTTGTGCTTGCAGTTTTAAATTAAACATTACAAAACCATTTTGAGATTCTAAACAATAGTTTCAAAACGGAAATCCGGAAGTTGACTGAACTTTGGCGCCAGAAAGGCAGAGTAGAGGTACTAGACTAATCAATAATGTAAGATGAGTTATGAATGTGAAATATTTCATTGAAAGAAACACAATCCCAATAACACCGGCCTTGAAACTTATCTTGGATCGTTTTTTATGTTAATATAATCAATAAGAACATAATAATAGATGGTAGGTACTTACATCCCGGGTCGGTACATTTCTGCACAAAAGATTCCAAAAAATCGTGTCCTTCCCCAGCTTCGAAACAACATTTCACGAAAGACATTCTTGAAAATTTTACATACACACTAACAACAATAATGAAATTCAACAACAATATATAAAATTTAAGAAAACAATATTTTTGTGGGTTTTTAAAATCTAAATTGTTTGTAAAATGACACTAAATGAACAGGTAGGCTTAATCACTTTAGTCCTATGATAATTATATAAACGTAAATTTAAATAAAAAAATATGTAGACATTGCTTTGTCGTATTAAATTAAGCTCTACAATCACTTAAATTCACTAAATTGGAAATGGGATGGAAAATTCAGTGTGTTTAATTCACTAAGCCTTCAATGGGTTTCGTTTTATCGTTAAAAATTAAATAAAACGTTTGTAAATTAAACAACTAGGTCATAGGATGTCACATTTCGGAAATATTTCTCGTAAAGCAAGGCACAAAATGTCAATGTAACATGGTAATACGTCTAAGTCAAATAATCGCAACAACTTGTTGTGGAGAATTGGAATGTTGAAGCCATTTTCAAATGGTTGCTTAATGCGCGAAGTCTATTTTCAGATATTATAACAGTAACACTAGTCGACGCTAGATGGAGTTAGTTATAATGATGCATTATTAATACTGTCTCTAGTCATTAGATGGCGCAACGTATTCTATTTAAAAAATTACGCATTTCAATCTGTGTGTTGATTCTGTTGAATTATTTTTAACCATCGAGTTTTCTGGTTATATACTCGATGTTTTAACTATCTTTAGTTCTTACATACTGCATTTTAAGTAGCACTAAAAATATAGAAATTATGCGCTTTTACATTTAAAACAAATAAGTAATTGAGGCTCTACATCTTTGATACAAGGGTGTAGAAATTTTGATACCGACGTAAGATCTTATTCCGTTGCATCGGAGGCAATATCCGGACAAAAGTGTATAGTTTGATGAGTTTGTTGGCTGTACGTAATTTGTTGATCAGATGTTGATTGTTTTCAAATAAAAAATCACTAATGTCTCGCCAACTTATTTAATAAGTAGGTAAGGGTTAGGTTATAATTTTTTTATTCAATTAACTCATTTTTTGTCGGTTTTTATAAGGGTAAGTAATATAATAAGCATTAGAAAATAGCGATAATATTGCAAATAATTATTTTTCTTTTTCTCCAGTGCTCATGAAAAGAAACCTGGAACCTATGTTCAGGAGGTTGTAATCGCCGCCACGAATTCAGCGCACAAGGGAAGCCACTCGTTTTCGCTTATTAGCTGCAAATTCTGCACGACTCTTAAATGTTCTCAAACGTACGTTTTAAAATTGAAAAAAAGTGATTTACACAAAATTACATGCGAAAATTATTATTTTTACAACACGATACGGTACACAATTTGAATAATTTAATTTTGGAAACGCTGAAAAATGTTATTTGACTTAAAATAAACCAAAAAGGAAGGAAAATTAAAAATAGTTTTTTTTTTTCGTGTATTATACCAGGTACTTGCAAGGTATCCCCACTTAGGCTTAACTCATACTGACGCAGAGTCGAGGCGTCGCGTCGCGTCATGTTTTTCACCTACGCCGCCGCGCGTCGACGCGCGAAGCCGCTCGATTCCATATTTGCAAAACACAAATTTGTACCTTAATAATGGGAAAATATAGATGAATATGCTATAGGCGAAAAACATGACGCCAGTGTGAGTTGAGCCTTACTTTATGTTACAAGTAATCGATCGTGAACATAAACTGTAAAGGCTACTGCGGTGACCATTTTTTAGTTGTTGCTCTAGTGGTGTCAAAAGAATCACACCGCGCCTGTTGGAATTTAAAATGTATTAAGATATATTGTACACTTTTTTGCTGAATTTGCTACAAATAGGAAGTCTTGAAGATCTTTAACAATCGCACAGATCATTATTGACCTGTGTATATTTTATTCCATATTCGATATTCGCTCGGAAATATAGGTCTAGATTAAAAGTAACTGCTGCACACGAAATGCTGAGTCACGAATGAACCTGCTTCACAGGCGTGGGTGAATGCTCTGAATGTTCTGGATCAAAAAACCTTCACCAAAGACGTAAAACTTACAAATAGATTTCGCATAAGGTCTACTTTAACCACTTTTGTCGACTGACTTCGGAGAGGTTTCTGTCTCTCGCCAAGTCGGTCGAATTTCTACCGATAGTCGCTACCACTACTGTTGAAATCTGATGAAGACACTTACACCGCTGAAAGAAAATGTTTTGCTTGGTTCTCTTTTTGCGAATAGCTCACGTGTAGATGCTACTGTCAAAGGTCTACCGAAGTTACTTTCATGACGTGAACTTATAATCAACAAAAAGAGATACTCAAAGCACAAAATACTCTACTCAATAAGGCAAGTGGCCCTGATGGTGTTTCGTTTGTCTTCTGCATCTGTCTACGTGATTTGGCTCTTGTTTTAGCATGTCAATCCCTGGAATCTGTCCAAGCCCCAATGTTTTACAAGATATTACTTAAAATGTATATAGCCAGTACCTAAAAAACAGAGTCGGTTGTGTCTCTACATATCGAAATTTTAGATTTTTATGATTCTGCCTACTTAAATATTGACCTTTACATTCTGATATCCGCTTATATACTAGTGATGCAACGGAAGTGTCATAACGGAAACAAAAACGGAAACAAATGTCAAAAGGAAACCTTAGCAGAAACGGAAGCGGATACGGATGCCGAAACGGAAGTGAAGATCTCAACGAAATATTTCCAAACAGAGCTTGGGTGTGGTTTCATAATTACACATTTTACACAAAACTGCTATAACCCACGCTCCCCACCACCAAGCAATACCAATTACAAAACTTCTACCAAAAACTTGACAGAAAAGTTAAAATTAGTAATTTAACACTACATTAAGTAACGGAAATGTAACATAACGAAAATAATTTGCGAAAAGTATATGTTAAAGCTTATTCAAAAATCGCATAAAGGTATCAAACCACATTAAAAGGCATAACTCGTCATTTGCGTTCGTAGTTTAACCACAAAAAAAAAAACATTTTTGCTTAATGCCTTATGAAGACCAGTTAAGTTTTCTTTAATTATGAATTAAGTTGCCTGTCTGTCGATTTACGATTACGATTGTACGTCCAGCCGTACAGCAGGATATCATCCTTACTTACTCGATATTCTCTTCAGGCGTACTAAGCGCTTTTCATTATCTTACATACAACCAGAGTATCTTTAAGCTGCGACTGTCTTTAAATTAAATAAAAAAATATGGATTTTATAAAAACTGTTTTTTTTTTGTACTTTTGCTACAATTTTTATCAACGACATTTGTTAAAATGGTGAAATTATAGGCAGTACGTCTCAGAGTGAGGGGCGCAGTATCTTTGCGTTTTAAAGAGTTGAGTGGTACTGCAACTGTGGCCCACGACTTTCAGATCTCGTCACTTAGTATTATAAAACAAAAAAATATTAACTTTATGCTAATATACATTCTAAATATACATTCCAAAAAAAAATACTTCTTTCATAGGTAATTTCCTGTTTCTGTGAATTAGGTATGAGGTAGCAGGACATCGTCCATAGGTGCTATAAAAAACTAAACAACAAAATAAAATTATTTCTTCCAATCTCAACCAGGAACAATTTACGATGTTTTCAGACAGAATTAGTTTATTAATCATGGACTTAATATTAAAAGTTTGGCAAACTCGTATCCCACTCTACCTGTACTCGTATATTGAAGGTTCTCCTTGTAAAGTGTCCCAAACAAGACCATAATTGCACTGTGACAAATCTCTCTGCTGAACCAAATATACACAAGCAGTTTTCCTTGCGCACACGGCCTCAGAAGCCTTTTTAGTAAGCAACACTCACTCGCCAATTTTAGTTTCTCAGTCGACCTCGAGGTTCCGAGCGGAGCGGGCTACTTTACCGCCATCTTTGAATTTTGCGCGCCAGTGCAGTGTTCTTCTTTCAAACTTTTAAAAAACAAGTGACAAGAAAAGTTTTAAAAAGTGAATTAAGTTCGTTTTCGTTAAATTTATTGGATTATTATTTTTCGGTTTTTTTTTCGAAAAGGTATTTTATAGTGTTTACGTTTAGATCTTGCCTGTGATTATTGCAAGTGTTGTTTTTTTTCCTCCTTTCGAATTGTTTTCTAAAGGATTTTATTATTCGGTAAGTTTTACTTGTTTATATCCTTATTAAATCTTGCGGAAATATTTTTTCTACGGTCTTAATTTCCTGATCGTAATTTTATTATTAAATTAATTTGTAACAAAGAAAAAATACTCCGCAATTAAAAATTGTACTTCTTGTTTAGTTCCGTGTTCCTGTTAAATACCAACACGTTGAATAATTTTACTTATAAATAGAAGTTAAGGAAATTTTGGATCCTTGAGGCTTTGAGTCATTATGGAACTTATCTTGTGCAATATTAAAAGAAATGTTACTCTGCAAAATACCTGTAGGTATACTTCAGGGTAATCTATGCAATAGACAATTTGCTATAATTTACGCTTACCAAGGAGGTTGTTTATCACTGCTATAGTTATGGAAAACACAAAGAGACGCAGCTGCCCACATCCTGGATTTATCACTAATTTTGATAAACCATACACATAAATGATTATCACTAATATCAGGTTTCTTGTCACGGTATGACTTCTTTTTATTTTCCCAATATTTCGGAACGGTTGCACGCTCCATGGTCACGGGACTGAGTCAACCCGTGACAACCCGTGGTAAGAAATCTGATATTAGTGATAATCATTTAGTGAACAACCACGAAAGTCTTAAAATCGATAACCATACACGTGCTTGAAAAGTTTTTTTTAACGCACACACTTGTAGCCACGCACTAGGGAAGCCACAAATTACACTCAACTCGCGAGAGCCCGAGACCGCGTGGCAGACCAAAATGGTAACCGTTCGACCATCGAGCAGTTGAAACATTTCAATTAATATTTTTTTAGACTAGGAAACGCAAGTCCCACCTGGTATCAAACCTGGAATTACGCGCTCGCAAGGCAGCGCTAAGACAACTGGGCTATCACAGCTAGCTATTAACCTATAGTTGCAAGTCAAACTCACTTGCTGCATTGTGAAAGCCTTGAAGCAATAATATCAGCGTGCGCGCAGATATTTCGGACTATTGTTTTTTGCGTAATATTGAACTCGTAATGCGCGTAATGATCTCCATTAAATGGTAATAGTAAGGTAGTGTCGTAAAATTCTTGCAAGTGGTATGGGTTAGAGATAAAAGCTACATATTCTTATGAATGAGTTCAGGGAAGTACTGCCATCTTACCTTTTTCTGCCGCCAAGCAGTTACCTAAGCATTATTGCGTTTCGGTCTTAAAAGGTAAGGGTGGTGATGAAATAACAGGCATATGGGACTTGTCAACTTATGTCTCAGGGTGACGGGCGTAGTGGCAGTGCCCTCAGATCTTTGCGCTTTAAAGGTCTGAGTGACACTGCAACTGCTATGGACGGGCGTGTCGCTTACCACCAGCCGCGCGTTCGTCCAATCACCTTATCATAAAAAAAAAGAACGTCAAAGCTCCAGTTAAAAATGTACTATTAAGAAATGTTTATTATAAAATCAAATATAGATGATATAAACGCATGGTTTCTTTCATTGACTTACAATTATATGGACGTCGGGTCCGCGCTAAAAAGTGTCCGAACTTATAGGGCGTTAAAGTCGTATACAGAGCGTCATTCACGCTTTAGTCTTCGTTTGTTCGACTGACAGCGAAGCAAGCAAAATTAGACAGTACTGCGATGACATTACAATTTAAATTCAACGTTTAACTTTTTCATATTCCTTTACATGTACACTACACTACAAGTTTACACTACCTTTAAATAGGTTGACTTGGGACATTTTTTTCGTGGTTTTTGTATTAGATCCGTCGTCCATTTATTTGTAAGTCAATGATCGAACACTAAGAAAAATTCCCTCGATCCGGCTGGAACCAGCGCCTTCCAGCAACTGACGACGACGAAGAAGACGCTCTGCCAATTAAACCAAGGTACGAATTTGTGGACCTTACGAATTTTTCTATGTGCTTGTGCACATCTTTGTTTTCGGTTTTTAACGAAATTTCATTTAAAAAAATTGAATATCATTGTAGTGAAACATCGTGACATGTAATCATCATATCAGCCGGAAGACTTCCACTGCTGAACATAAGCCTCCCCCAAAGATTTCCAGATCAGCCGCCGCCCTTACCAGTAGTTTACTCGGAGATTCCCGAAAGCTGCCCAACCGAGTCGGATTCGACGATTGACCTCTTTTTCGAAGTTGGTCCTGTTTAATTGGACGGTTTGTCTGAGGTAGACATACTCGTCAACAACTTCAAGAGTAGAGGTTCCCACTGTTATAGGACATGTAATGAATTTAATTAAAATTCACAGGTGTTAACAAAATCATTAAAAATCAGATTTGCAGTTATTAGCAATGCTTGATCCCTAGAGATTTTAGATGTGTGTAATTTAATAAATCACTAGACGATGCAAAAGAGCTCAATTGTAAACAGTTAAAAATAAAATTGCATTATTCTGTTACATATTGAATACTATTACAATATTAACGACTTCTTGTCAGTAAAAAAATGTAATTAAAACTATAACGATGTAACTGTTAATTTTCTATCTCTTGATTAACTTTTAGTTATTAGTTTAGTGGTTATTATTATAGTGTATGCTCGTAAATAGTCACTATATATAGTTCTTAGATTTCCGCAATTGTTAAGCACATATTGGAAATGAAACTAGCTTTTAACCGACTTCAAAAAAGGAGAAGATTCTCAATTGTACTATAAACGTTTTGCACGCGCGTGTCTGTTTTGTGTGTGTGTGTGTGTGTTTTTGTGTGAGTGTGTGTGTGTATATTACGCGATTACTCCGGCATTTGTGAACCGCCATATAAATTTGGAAGCTTCTCCTTTTTTTGAAGTCGGTTAAAAAGAACGTCTAATCACCCAACCCTACTAAAAAACCCCCATTTTAAACACGTAACCCGAAGCAGAAAGTAATCAAAAACGGACTGAAATGAGAGTCCTAATCCTTGAGTCGTCATTTCAAAATTTATGAGCGTCTTAGAAATTTGTACAGATGACAACACAGGATTGTTTTTTGATGGTGATAATGTAGGTTTACTTAGAGACGAAATCATATTTCTAAAACCATCACTTGACGGTCGCAATGCACATTATTTCGACGTAAATATATGTACTTGGTACTTGGTGCAACGGGCTGGTATCCGTAACTCGACGACAAAGCCTATTTTGTAAATATATGTAATAGAGGAAAGATAGAAAGGGTAATATTACCATAAAATATGATACCTATCTAGTTTACTACAGCATATTTATTATTGCTAGATAAAGTTTTCTTCGGCAAGACAATTCCAGGATTGATTTATCGTCTTGCTTCTATTCCATTGCATCGACTCTTCTTTGGAAGTTTTCTTCTTCCACACATTTCATGTCTTTCTCTGCTCCAGTTCTGACTCTTCTATGATTTACATTAATGAGTTACGAGCAGCAAAGTTCCTTGTGCAAGAGTGAAGAAAAGAAAAGTAGTGCTGCCACCATACCTATTTCTGCCGCATAGCAGTAATATGAACGTTACCGCGTTCCGGTTTTGAAAGATAAGAACGCTGGTGAAACTACACATGACAATTGTCAACTTTATGTCCCAGGGTGATTAACGCAGTGGCAGTGCCCCGCAGATCATTGCGAATAAAGCTCCGAGTGGCTCTACAACTGTGACTTTTCGTTCTGTCACTTGATGACATTAAAAACAGGCTTTATCTGTCACTACAGCAATATGCCATTCTGATCAGCGATCACAACACTACTGCAATCTGGATATAAATATTTGTATTTTTTTATTATATGGTACAACAAACAAATAATACTTAGAACTAATACATATGTAACATTATAAATCTGATTAGGACAATATATAATATAAAAGGAATGACGCATAAACTAGTGCACAGTGTCGTTTTGAAGCACTTAAAACTACAGAGAAAATGTCACGGTGCGAGCATATGGTATTATATAATCGACACCATATTATTGAACCATTTGCTCTAAAAATTGTCAAATACTTTACGCGGCAGATTGTCTTCGTAAATCGAATGATAAATATCGATGCTTGAAAGGCAAAATGGGATAAGCGACACTTTCGGTCTAATTGAGTTATATATACAGTTGGAATCGGTATATATAACTTAATATGTCCCAAAAGTGTCGCTTATCCCATTTTACCTTTTAAATTTTCCATTTTACCTATTCATAACCTTTACCATACGTTTGGAATCAAACTAGCAACGACTAAACTTTAATGATACAAAAAAAAAGATACTTTGCTAGTCCAGAGACGAAGCCCTAAGGCACAGTTGGCGAAGAAATCTTCCATGTTTAATCCACTTAATCTTATTAAGGTTATTATGTAAATTATTCCTTCAATTACACAAAAATTTTAAACTAATTCTGAAACAATAACATTCCGTTTACTGTCTCATTCCTTTGCGGAGATCTGTACCATAATTATACCACATTAAGGTTCGTTTATTTAGCCCATTTTCGGCGCGAGTTATTGCACGTTTTTGACTCGCATTCTTAGCCCGAAGCGAGTATTGATTTCTGGACGTCTTTTATTTTTGTTTTCTGTCATAAGTCGCATTTCTTTTAGTATAAGATCACAAACTGAGATGTAAAATTGTTTTTGTTATTGATTGTTATTGTTAGTCAGAATGCGATCGCGTTGCTACATAGGTCATACATTATTATTATGTAAGTTGGAGTTGTATTGATTGGTCGTCTTGCCGAATAAAACTTTGTGTAGCAATAAAAAATATGCTACAGTAAACTGGACATATAAAATATGAATTTTCAGAGCATATGATCGTAACATTATAATCATTATGTGTTACAAGTACACATCATGCAATCTATAACTCTGTATATTTATTAACATACTTAAGACATAAACTTTGCAAGATTTTTATCTTTTTTTTAATCTAAAATATAATTTCTAGAACGTGGTAGGAAATAAGAACGGCCAATCACTTTGCCTTATTATCACGTGTATTGCACTTGGGAATTCCATTGGCAATCACGTGGCTCATAAATCACGTGAAATTGAAATCTACCAATAAT